CTGGGACCTCATGTGGTCTCCTGGGGCCTCCTGGAGCCTGTTGGAGCCTCCTGTGGCATCCTGAGAAGAATCTGCGCCCACGAGCCTGGCCACCAAAACAAGCAAACCGATCGAGACATCCTCAAAATCTGGCCCACCTGGGGGGTGAAAATGAGCGCCTCGCTCGAGACATCCTCCAAATCTGCTCCGAAAGCGAAGGATGTTGGGCACAGAAACAGGCAAACCGCCTGAGACATCCCCACAAAATGGCCGCGAACGAGCCCGTGCAACCACCCCTGGCGGCTCCCCTTAGGGGTGCTGAAATGAGCGCCTCGCTCGAGACATCCTCCAAATCTGCTCCGAAAGCGAAGGATGTTGGGCACAGAAACAGGCAAACCGCCTGAGACATCCCCACAAAATGGCCGCGAACGAGCCCGTGCAACCACCCCTGGCGGCTCCCCTTAGGGGTGCTGAAATGAGCGCCTCGCTCGAGACATCCTCCAAATCTGCTCCGAAAGCGAAGGATGTTGGGCACAGAAACAGGCAAACCGCCTGAGACATCCCCACAAAATGGCCGCGAACGAGCCCGTGCAACCACCCCTGGCGGCTCCCCTTAGGGGTGCTGAAATGAGCGCCTCGCTCGAGACATCCTCCAAATCTGCTCCGAAAGCGAAGGATGTTGGGCACAGAAACAGGCAAACCGCCTGAGACATCCCCACAAAATGGCCGCGAACGAGCCCGTGCAACCACCCCTGGCGGCTCCCCTTAGGGGTGCTGAAATGAGCGCCTCGCTCGAGACATCCTCCAAATCTGCTCCGAAAGCGAAGGATGTTGGGCACAGAAACAGGCAAACCGCCTGAGACATCCCCACAACATGGCCGCGAACGAGCCCGTGCAACCACCCCTGGCGGCTCCCCTTAGGGGTGCTGAAATGAGCGCCTCGCTCGAGACATCCTCCAAATCTGCTCCGAAAGCGAAGGATGTTGGGCACAGAAACAGGCAAACCGCCTGAGACATCCCCACAAAATGGCCGCGAACGAGCCCGTGCAACCACCCCTGGCGGCTCCCCTTAGGGGTGCTGAGTATGAGTAAGTCTGTGTATGAGTAAGTCTGTGTATGTGTACGTCTGGGTATGACTAATACTGTGTATGAGTAATTCTGGGTATGAGTGAGTCTGTGTATGAGTACGTCTGGGTGTGAGTAAGTCTGTGTATGAGTAAATATGTATATGAGTATGTCTGAGTGTGAGTAAGTCTGAGTATGAGTAGGTCTGAGTATGAGTAAGTCTGAGTATGAGTAAGTCTGTGTATGAGCAAGTCTGAGTATGTCCGACAGGAGGGGAGGAGAAAAGAGGAGGAGGAAGGAGGAGGAGTAGGAGGCGTCCAAGTAATAACAAGAACCCCATCTTAGGATATGGGGAACTACTTGTTCGAAGCCTCCCCCACCTCGCCGACGGCAAACGATTCCCTTTCTCCCACACTCCGAACGGGGGACTGGTGGGGCCAGTGGTTGGGACGGTGGCGGGGATGGTGGTGGGCAGAACAATACGATTACAGACTGGTAGATAGAAGCCTACTACCTGTATGCACTAACGCCGAGGCCATGAACATCGCAGATCTCAACTCGGACCGCAAAGCTGTCGTACTTGACATTCGCTTCCCGGTTCTACCGAACGGAAAAACTACACGCTATCTAGGACATCCCACGTCACGGGCCGACATTTGCAGCGGTCATTGGGCACGCGCAGACTTCGACGAATACCGACGACGCTTGGGGCTCCAGTTACAACCGGCGGCGCTTCCGACAGACCCGCAGGAGCTCGCCCTCGTCATCGAGAAGAGCCTGTACACCTCCACAACTCACGGAGCTGCCGCCGCGGCGGCGCCCTCACGAGCAGCCACGACCAGCGCCAACCACGACGCCAAGCACCAGCAACACGACGACATCATCGAAGACCTTATCAAGCAGCGACAGAACACGCCTACTGCAAACAGCAATGCCCGACGAGCAATCAGTAAAAAGATACGGCAAAGCATTCGACGACAGAAACGCGCCGACCAGAGGGAGCGAATCAGCACCATATTGGAGCAGTGCAAGAGCCTCAAAAACGTCCGCTCCATCAAAACGGCGGAGGAGGACTCTGATTACAGAGATGGCGGGGGCCGGCGGCAGCAAGCAGACAACGAGGCAGGGGATAGCAGACACATTTGCAGATGCTTACGCTCAGTTGTATACTTCTTCCCGCAGCCTTGACCCCACGCCAACCGCAGCGCACAAGCCACCTGGGATTCCACCTTTCACGCCGACGGAGCTCACCGCAGCAATCTCACAGCTCAAGGGCGGAAAAGCACCAGACACTAGTGGAATCCGCGCTGAAATGCTTCAAAAACCAGGTCCAAAGCTCCAGCGTGCCTTACTACAGTTGTACAACACCATCATACAGGCAGACGCCCCTACGCCGGCCAGCTGGAAAAAGACCGTCATCACTGTGATCCCCAAGTCGGGCGATTTGACGCTTCCACCGAATTATCGCCCGATCTGCACAATACCGATGTTGTATAAACTTCTCAGCCGATTACAGTACAACAGGCTACAACCAACCCTAGAACGACAGCAACCCGACGACCAGGCGGGCTTTCGCCCAAGACGAGGTACGCGCGACCACCTCTTCACTTTCAATACTCTACGTGAGAAGGCAGCCGAATGGAAACAGACTTTCTGGGTTGCAGCCATAGAGTTCAAAAAGGCTTTTGACACAGTCGAACACGACAGCCTGTGGGCAGCTCTGATTCACCAAGACGTCACGCCTGGGTACGCAGACCTTGTACGACGCATGTACAAAGACAAAACACAGCCGAGGTCCAGACCGACACCACCAGTAAAACGTTCGACCTCCAACGCGGCACAAAGCAAGGGGGTCCACTGAACTTATTGCTATTCAATTCGTTATTCCAACACGTCGTAGCACCGCTGATCTCAATTTGGCAGAGGAAACACCGAGGCGTCCAATTGGGACACACCGACGCGGCGACACGAACCTCCGGCTCGCAGATGACATCTTGCTGACAAGCTAAACATTGCCCAACCTAAGGGCACTTCTTTCCGACCTTATCGCAGCAAAACAGCACGGATTGGAATTGCACCCGACCAAAACCATAACCATGACCAATCAGCCTCGACACTGCGACCGAACAAATTAAGCAGCAGGAGTGGACATCATCAGATTACCACGATCAAGCACCATCACCAACCTGAGCCAAACCACTTTCCACGACGCACCTGGAATCGAAATAAAGCACTGGATTCAAGCAGCATGGGCATGTTTCAGCAGCCACAGACAAGACATCACCAGCAAGCACTATCCACTGCGACACCGACTATGACTATACAGGGGCACCGTCATCCCTACTATGACGTACGTACGTGTACAGAGCCTCTCAAGCAGCAGTTACGCAGAACACAACGACGGATGGTACGAATCATGATCAGAACACCAAGGATACGCACGGCAGCGACACCGACACCACAACACAATCCAGAGATCCCCAGACAATCACAACGACACCAGCAGCACAGCACCAAACGACTCCAGCGAATCCGACGTTTGCAGGGACCCACCTGCACACCAGCCAAATGCGCAGGACGACGTCAGCGACGACGAATGCACGCAACGGGGCAATACGCAAAACGAGGACGTCGAATTGTGGTCCGACTTCATCCGCAGGAGTACACGGAGAGCAGAGGCATTGATGTTGAAACATGATATACCCGATGTACTCCACCTACACCGAAGGATGGCCTGGCGCTGGGCAAATACGGTGGCTTTTCACCCTCCCACACGCTGGACACAGAGAGTGTTCAATTGAAACCCAAATCTCAACATTCGACAACAAGGACGACGGCAACAAGGAGGGCAACAAAAACGATGGGACGACGACATCTGGAAGTTTCTCCACACATTGGACGGGAACCACTGCGACACCGACACCAGGCAGGAGCAGATCCGAGCGGCGACCCAACCACGACAACACCAAAACAACAGCACAAACGACTTGCGGTGGTTATCAGCGGCTGGGAACACTGAGTGGTGGTTATCACGTGAGGCCACCTATGTTTCACATGTTTGAGGCCACGGCCTCCACGCCATGCCCTAATGGGCACGGGCGTGCCCCCCGTAGGAGCACGCACGCCTCCGGCGCTTCGCTTCGATTCGTTGCGCTGCGCTGCACTTCTCTTCGCTTCGCATCGTCAGCAGCAGCAGAAGCAGCATCCTCATACTCACCATTATCATGGGTGGTTTGGTCGATCAGGGTACCCCTGGCCGTACATTGGGTTCCGGATACCAAGTTCCCCCGCCACCACCGGTTAAATTTTGTTGTTGGGGCACTATTTCTTCACACCCCACTCTTTCGATCATAATAATCGTCATGCTCGTCGTCGCCATGGTCATCATCAGCAGCAGCATCATCAGCATCGGCATTGCCATCGTCATCGTCATCGGCATCTTCGTCATAGTCGTCATCATTGTCATCATCAGCATAGTAATCGTCATCACCAGCATTCTTGTCATCATCATCACCATGACCATCATCACCATCTTCGTCGTCATCGCCATCGTTGTCTTATTCCCCCATCATCCTTATCCCCATCATCATCATCATCATCATCATCATCATCATTGTCATTGTCACAAGCATCAGCATCATCCCCATCATCAGCATCATCTTCATTACCAGCAGCATCATCAGCATTACCAGCAGCATCATCAGCATCCTCAGCATCACCATCGCCATCATTATCATCATCAGCAGCATGGTCGTCAGCATCTTTGCCAGCATCATCATCAGCACCATCAGAAGCATCAACATCATCGCCACCATCATCATCATCATCAACAGCAGCAGCAATATCGGCATCAGCATCAGCAACATAATCAAACTCCGCATCATTATCATCATCAGCATCATCATCATCGCAATCGCCATCGCCATCATCATTATCATCATCCTCTGGGTTGCCAGGTGCTCTCCCGCAAGGCCGTGCACGCTTGGGCGATGGGTGCGTCAGATTGCGTCGACCACTTCGCGAAGGTATGCTCGGGAGACTGCTACTGGGGAGAGGACCGCGCCGCACCTTCGCGTTGAAGTACCGAGCGGAAAGGGTAGCAGCAGCAGTGATAAGTCGTGGGGGCAGGAGGTTGAGAAGGTCGAGTTCTTGGAGGATCGCAGAGTCCCCTGCAACATGTATCATCGGAGTGAAAGGTGTTGCTTTGCCTTAAGTTGCCCTCTGGTGCGTTTCTGGAGCGACCTTTCGCGTTGCGGATGGTTGTTGTTATCGTTGGTATTCGTTGGTATTCGTTGCGACCGTAATGCCAGCCCCTGCTTGTGGATGAGACGTTGTTCTTCTTCGACAGTCATGGCGACACATCTCAGGGAGGGGCAAGCCCTAGTGAGCGCGAGTTCGCCCCACAGGGCCCGGTGAGGTGCTCGCAACCTTTGGCATGCGAGGGGCAGTGTTGCAGTAGGGCGGCCCGTTTGCAGGCACCATCTGCAGTAGGATCTGGAGCAGTAGGGATTGCAATATAACAGATTTTGCGGTAAGATCTGTAGCGCGATCTGTAGTAAGATTTGTGCAATATGATCTGTACTGGGATCTCTGGTCGGATCTTCAGTGATATTTGTGGTAGGATGGGCAGCATGATGTTCAATGGAATATGCAGTAGGAGCTGTGAATGATCTGAGGTAGGATGTGTAGTCGGATCCGTAGTAGGATTTGTAATAGGAAGTGGAGTGCGAGTTGTTGAAGGATCGCCAGTCGGAGTCGTAGCAGGAGCTATAGTTTCTTGGTGGTAGGATATGTCAGATGATCTGTCGTAGGAGTCGTCAGACTCAGTCATCCGACTGGTCTTATACCAGCTTTGGGTGCATGTTGGAAGTGCGTTTCCGCGGTGAGGATCATTGCTATTGTGTTGTGTCGTGTTGTTATGTGGTTGTGTTGTCGTCGTTCTCGCCCGCTGGGGCCTGGAGGAGGAGGAGGAGGAGGAGGAGGAGGAGGAGGAGGGAGCAGGAGGGAGCATGATGGATGATGGTGGAGGAGGAGGGGGGCACAAAGAGATGAATGGATGAAGTGATGGATGGAAGAGGAAGAAGGGACGGGGCACGATTGGTACATGTCGTGCAGTATCTTACATAGTACCCCTCTGTCCTCCTCCTCCTCCCATCTTCCTCCTTCTGCTCATCCTCCTCCTCCTGCTGCTCCTCCCTACTCGCAGAGCCGAGGGCTAAGGAGCACGTGGATCCCGAAAGCGCCACTTGTAAAACGCCACATTTGGAACATCGCTTCTGCGGATGCCGCAGTGCGGCCAACGAGGCGGCGAGAGCGTCGCATCGTGGGACGGCGCGCCTACGGGAGCTACATGTGTGAATGTTCCCATCATCGTCCTCGTCCTCCTCCTCCTCCTCCTCCTCCTCCTCCTCCTCCTCCTCCTCCTCCTCCTCCTCCTCCTCCTCCTCCTCCTCCTCCCTCCTCCGCCTCCCTCCTCCTCCTGCTCCTGCTCCTCCTCCTCCTGCTCCTCCTCCTCCTCCTCCTCCTCCTCTTCCTCCCCCTGCTCCTGCTCCTGCACAATTACTCAATATGAATACTACTCTTCCTCTTCCGCTGCGTATTGTTTTTTACACACAGGTTTCCCCGGAGTTGGGTTTTCGCTTGCATTTTTGTTCAACATGCTGCTCTCGCTGAGGCGCTGGCCTCATTTTCGGGCCCCGCTCGTTCCGAATCGTGCTCCCGCTGCAGCGCTGGCCTCATGTTCGTGCTTCCGCTCGTTCCGAATCGTGCTCCCGCTGCAGCGTTGGCCTCATTTCCGCGCTTCCGCTCGTTCCGAATCGTGCTCCCGCTGCAGCGCTGGCGTCATTTCCCGTGCCATGCCACGTCATGCAATGCAATGCTAGGTTGATACTACGCTTTGCGGTGCTCTTCTACGCTATGCCATGCCGTGCTCTACAATGCATCGCGTACCCTTTCGAGATCATTGCCCTGCTCAACATCCGACTGTGCGAGTAGAGAGGGGATCTGCGCCATGGTAAGGGATGGGAGGGAGGGGTAGGATGTCCGATATGACGCGAGCGCGCCTAGCTTGTCCTCCTCCCCCTCCCCCTCTTCCTCCTCCTCCTCCCCCTCCCCCTCTTCCTCCTCCTCCTCCTCCTCCTCCTCCTCCTCATCCTCATCCTCCTCCTCCTCGGGTACGGCAATCGCTTCGACGAGAGCATCGTTCCACTGGTCTGAAACTCGCCGAAAACGACGAAACGTGGCAGGCGCTTCACAGGAAGCGCGGCCATTGCTGATGCAATGATACGGCCAGCGATGCGGCGACAGCAACGTTCTGTTGGACGGAGGCTCTAGATGGACATCCGTGCACGAGGCCAGCGTCACAGCCAGACCGTTGTGATGTGCCGAGAGCGTTACGAGCGCAAATATAAAGTCGAAAGTTACATGTTTGCAAACATTCGCGTGAGAAACCATATGCGGGATAGCCAGCGGCAGATAAATACAGCATCGGCGGGAATGCAAGGGAAGTGCTCATGCTGAGTATTTGCGGAGAAAGGAGGTAGATGGGGAACACAAGAAAGGAGAAGGGGAAGGACGACGACGATGATGATGTCTGACGGGGAGGAGGCGGGGGAAGAGGATGCAAGAGGAGGAGGAAGCAATGAGGTCTGAACGGTAGGCTCGTGTCGTGTCGACGCGGCAGCGACCCCGCCGTCGAGGTTCCAGGTTGAACGCCGCTGGTGGCCCAGGATCGGCCGATGTGGAGTGGCCTGGCGATCGAACAGCTGCTGGTTGTTCAAGGAACGATCGACGCGGTGTCAGGGAGAGATGCCGGGGTCGTCACGACCGAATTTGCCGTAGAGTTGTTGTAAGTCTGGAAGTCTAATGTCGCAAGTACGATTCGTGTATGTAGCAAGCTCGTAGTAGGTACGCTGTAGACTTGCAAGAGGCCCCGAGAAGGTCTGTAGTAGTTCTGCGGTAAGGCTGTCGCAGCACGATTGTAGCCAGCGTGAGGTATGGTTATATATTTTGCGTAGTAGGTGCGCGTTCTGTATGCAGGATTGTTGCGGCAGGTGTCTCTGCAGTCAGTAACCATCATGTAGGAGGCGTGCAACACATTCGTAGCGTTGTGTGCTGTATGTGTGTACTAGATGTGATATACTGTTGTAGGAGGTGTGCCACATTTGTTGTAGTAGCCGTGCGGCGGGTGTGAAGCAATATCAGGTGCGTGTGTGTGTGTGTGTGTGTGCGTGTGCGTGTGCGTGTGTGTGGGTGTGTGTGTACGGTGTGCGTGTGTGTGTATGTCCGTGTGTGTGTTTGTGTGTTTGTGCGTTTGTGTGTTTGTGTGTTTGTGTGTTTGTGTTTGTGTCCGGTTGAGGTTTGTACCGGGAACGTGGGTGTGGCAGCAGTGTTGGCATTTTGGGGGCGCCGTTGGGGAGGCATTCGGCGACGGTGAGTTGCCAGACGGAGCTTGTTGAAGGGTTGGCACGCTAGGGAGAACCGCCACCTGTGTGGATTCATGACAGGACCAGAAAATGTGTCGGCGCGCCTAGCGCGCAGCCGGGAAGCGGGTTTCAATACCAGGGTGTGTCGCCTCTTGTTCGGGCTTTGTGACGGGGCCAGGATTCGTTGATACGTAGTTCTCGTTGTCTATGCTGCCGTCGTCGCGCCCGACGCACCCCGTGACCCGCGACGCACTTGCGTCCATCCGCGACGCACCGGCGACCCACACCCGCGACTTGCTCGCGACCCACCCGCGTCGCGATTTGCCCGCCCACTCGCGCCGCGATTTGCCCGCGGCTTTGCTCCAACCACTTCGGCGTCCGCGGCCACCCACACTGATTTCAAAGGCACAAAAAAAATCGGCGCCTGCGGCGGCCTGTTCTGCACCAGCTTTGGAAAGCACCCATGGCACGTCCCGGCCCCTCCGCCCCACTTATTCGATGCGGAGGAGCAGTATGAATAGTTGAGGGTAGCGTGCCTACAACATGATGCATCAATTCTCGCGTCGAGTGTCAGTTGACATTCGGCCAATCCCGCGACTGAGCCAGGCTTGCCGGTGCAGGGCGCAGCGGGAGCATGATTGGGTAATTTTTGCGGCTTCCCAGGATGGAGGCCGATTGGCAACCTTTTTGGGCCACTGGGCTCTGGGAAACGTAAGACTCGAGTAAGCCGGAACTTGGGTTAGCCAGCGTTTTTTCACGAGCGCGTCCTGGAGTTTGACAGTCCAGTTTTCGTGGGATGTTTGCAGCGGGAGTTCGCGTTAAATTTCAGATTCTGCGTCGTCATTTTTATGATGGCCCCGTCATGCCAACCCGAGTCCCCCGTACCCGAGTCTTACGTCTCCCCGATTGGCGGTCCAGGGGGAGGGAGCGTTTCGGGGGCCTGTTTGGTGGTCTTGGGGTCGTCTTTCGGGAAGAGGGCGGATTTCGAGCCATGTTCCTGGAGTTCGTTCGCGGCGCGTTCTTGGCGGGGCCGTCTCGGGAGGCTTTGGGGCCTCTCACGAGGGCCTCGGGCACGGTCTTGGGGTGGTACATTGTGAGCCTCTCGAGCCGTCTGCGGGGCGCTGTTCACAAGACTAAGAAAATGCGAGAAGACGGGGGGGGGAGAAGGAATGTGAGAGCCCCTCAGGGCGAACGGACAACACACACACAAACACACACACACACACACACACACACACACACACACGCACACACCCATAGGAGGGTCGGGGGGAGGAGGACTGGCCATGGGTATGGGCGCGGATTGTCAGACCCTGGGGGAGGCTCCCGTTCGAGCGGGGATCCCCATCGGACAACACGCACCCATAGCCCCCTGCATCCCCCCTTATGGGTATGGGTGCGTGTTGCTCATTCGTCAACTCAGGGCCAGCCCCCTCAGGGCGTCTTGGGCCAGCCCCCGAGGGCGCCCAGAACGACCGCAGAAGAATTCACCTGCACGGCCACAGCACGAAGCCCAGGCCCCCGTTGGGGGCCAGCGCGGGGCACGGTGTTTGGGAAGAACTTTGAGGCTCGGCCGCGGACTCAGGAGCGAGGATCGAGGAACGGTGAGGGGGAGGAGAAGGGAGGAGGAG